TCACTCCTCAGGCTTATGGCCATCTGATATTAGACAAAGGCAACAAAAATCTACATTGAGGAAAAAATAGCCTCTTCAACAAGTCGTGCTGGGAAACTGGATATCCATATGCAGAAGAATGAAACTAGATATGCATCTCTCACCATACACTAAAATCAACTCAAAATGGATTAAAGACCTATGTATAAGACCCGAAATTGTAAAATTACTAAGGGAAAATATAGGCGAAACCCTTCAGCAGTTGGGTCAGGGCACAGGTTTTATGAACATGAGCCTGAAAGCAGAAGCAGCAAAAGAAAAAATAAACAAATTGGACTACATCAAACTAAAAAGTTTCTGCACAGCAAAAGAAACAATCAACAGAGTTAAAAGACAAGCTACAGAGTGGGAGAAAATTTTTGCTAACTATGCATCTGACAAGCGACTAATATCCAGAATATATTTAGAACTGAAGCAATGACAGAGTGGGAGAAAATTTTTGCTAACTATGCATCTGACAAGGGACTAATATCCAGAATATATTTAGAACTGAAGCAATTATACAGTAAAAAAATAAATGACCCAATTAAAAAATGGGCAAAGGAGCTGAATAGACATTTTTCAAAACAAGATATACAAATGGCCAACAGATACATGAAAAAAAGTGCTCAATATCACTAGTCATCAGGGAAATGCAAATTAAAACCATATTGAGATACCCCCTCACTCCAGTTAGACTGGCTATAATCAAAAAAATGGTGAATAACAAATGTTGGTGAGGGTGTGGAGAGACGAGAACAATACTGCACTGTTGGTGGGACTGTAAATTAGTACAACCACTTTGGAAAACAATTTGGAGGTTTCTCAAATAACTACAGATAAATCTTCCATATGATCCAGCAATCCTTCTTCTGGATATATATCTAGACGAATGGAAATCAGGTCAAAGAGATACCTGCACTCCCATGTTTACTGCAGCTCTGTTTACAATAGCCAAGATATGGAAACAACCTAAATGTCCATCAATAGATGATTGGATAAGGAAACTGGCATATATACACTATGGATTACGACTTTGCCATAAAAAAGAAGGAAATACTGCCATTTGCAACAACATGGATGAACCCGGAGAAACTTACATTGAGTGAAACAAGCAAAGCACAGAGGAATAAATACCACATGTGCTCACTCATATGTGGGAGCTAAGACAGAAAGGAAGGCAGGAAAGAAAGACCACAGTAGTGCCGTGATCCAACAGAGGGAGGGAACATTCCTTAGGGCTACAAATAGGAGTGGGGGGGAGGGGGGAGGGGGAGAGAGGTTTGGGGATAATTGGGAGGGGACAAAGGGTACAAAAGTAATTTCTGGTAATGGGTATGCCTCTAGTATGAATCTGGCCCTCACATCATGGGCAGGAGGGGGAACAATCAGCTTTGTATCTCATGAATATTTGTAATAATAATAAAAAAAGATGGATAGTGTAGTAGTTACCATTTTGGGACAAACGTTTTTTATGTATATTTTCTTATTTATTTTTCACAAAATTACCACAGAGAAAAGAATTTTATCCCTATTTTACAGTCATAGAAACTAAGACCTGTTGAGGTTAAGGACTTGCTTAAGGATATGGAGCTAAAGATGACAGTCAGAATTTATGCAACTATTTATGCCATGCTTGTCTGGGGTTGTTTAATACATAATTACTAACCCATTGATACTACTGACTGTACACAATAATTATTCTAGAGTAAAGTGCAACTTAGAACAGTTTCCTTAAATCATGGGAAAATTAGTGAAAATCACTGGTTCATATGAGGAAGAAAATAATTTGATTAAGAGTCAGGTAAATGAATACTAACATTATTTTTGGGAGTGGTATTTAGTTAGTGAGTGAAAGGATTAATCTAGAACACTTAGATAACAGCATATTACAGTGTTGAAAATAAATTTATAGAAATGTACAAGTATGGATGTATCATCAGGTTAGGTTACCCACATGGAAAAAAAATCAAATGATGAAGATTAGAATTAAGACCATGACCTTTCAAAAGGTATCACACCTCATCTAGGAAACCATGTATATTCATATTTAGGGAAATGGGGAAATTTGTTTAAGTATTCTCATGTGGTCTTTTGGTATTCAAGATTCCTACATAGGCAATTGTTGCTTAGCATGGACTTGATGCTATAAGAAACGAACAGAGAAATTGGTAAGGAAACTACTATTATGCTCTAGAATTTCCTTTATGCCCTGGATATCAAAATGTGGTCTGTCTTTAAAAAGAAAAAAATAAATTAACTAGGAAATTACTTCATCTTAAAGACTATATTAATCCCAACCCAAGAAATTTTCTTGGTTTTACCCACGAGTGAAGACAGAAAAACTGGATCTTATATTTATTCAGAATAATTTCAAAGTAATTTGAATTCTTTGATTTCCCATTTTAAAAGCTTTTCAAGTGCTCTAATAGGTTTAGAGTTTGATCAGTAAAATGACTGCATCGAGGACTCTCAATTTTTATCTCAGTTTGAAAATTTGCACTGATTGGAAGGTTTGACTCATTTTGAAAAGTTCTCTGTTTTAGAGATTAGGTATTATGTAACATTTATTTTTATTGGTTATGAATATTCATGAGATACAAAGCTGATTGTCACCCCTCATGCCCATGATGTGAGGGCCAGATTGATACTGGCAGCATACCCAATACCATCTGTTCCATCTGCACACAATTTATGACTTTGGATATATAAGAGTTAGACATCTTTTGTCAGATAGTTTTCTTCTGTTCCTCTCTTCACCTCACTCAACTCCCTATTCTACTTTCAAACTTTATAAACTAGCTTCTAACGAACAATTTCCTGCATCTTTGGGATTATGACTTATTCTCCTATTCTGTATTTTGGTCACAACTAATTTCTTTGTTCATTGCTTTCTCTTTTTCTTTGCTTTTAGCTATAGTGGGAAAAAAGGTATTGTCCTTGTACTTAGGGAAATTACATTGTTATTAATGATTGTTTTAAAATTATTTACTGCTTTGCCTCTCATTTTGAGAATGGGGGATGTATCTTACTCATATTTATGCCTAGCATAGTGCCTGATGCAAAGTAGATGCTAAATAAGTTTTGTAGAGTTTTGTTGAATATTGATTTCACACATATCTCTAAATTCAAAGAGGGAAGAGAAGGTATTTATCTTTATTTGGAGCACTTTCTAAAGAAAAAACAGGGCAGATGTAGAAACTATATCTATATGTGTTAACTGAAGTGGATTATTGAATTTCTTATTTAGATAATTTATAAAGACCATATTCTTTTTGCTGAAATATCTCATTTATTTTTGTTCTGCGTTATCCATTTAACATAATCTGAGTTTTTCTTAGAGTAGGTAGATATTTATCTGCAATATTTTGCTGCGAAGATAGGGCAAGAAGGTAGCGATGCAAGGTAGCAGATAGCATTGAAAGATATGCTTGAAAAGTAATTTTTTTTTCCTTTTTGTCTTTTTTCGTGACCGGCAACGGATCGCAACCCTCAGTGTCGCACCCGTACCAGACCGGGACGGGCCACGGGATCGCAACCCTCGGTGTTGCCCCCACACCTCACTCAGCCAGTGAGCGGCCGGTCTGTATGTGGGATCCAAACCCTCGGCGGGAGCGCCACCGCGCTTCCCAAGCGGCGCACTATAGCAGTGCGCCACCGGGCCGGCCCTTGAAAAGTAATTTTAACCCTAGATATAATACAATTAGATTATGTTAGCTAATTCATAGCTTTAGAAATCTGAATTGGATTAGCTCCTCTGTAGTGCTCTGATGATTTGTGACAAACGACAGGAGTATGGAATTGAATAAAGTTTCTATGACAAGGCATCTTTTTTGGAGACTAATAGCCACAGAATTAAGTTTTGAAAGCCCCTATTCTGTAGTCTCAGTGAGGCCGAAGAAAGCTCTCCCTACTACTGCTGAAAAAGGATGCCTAATGAAACTGTTTCAAATTGCTGAATAGCCTGGCTAATCCTGCCTGTCTCTAATCGCATACTCTGAATCCATATTTTTCACACTATCATAAGCTTTCCAACTATTTTTCAGATAACATTACTTATGTTTGGAATGAATTGATGCACCTATAATAGTAAAACCATGGCTGAAATGTATCTCTTTGTGGATATTCTTAATTCATTTAAAATCTATTATTTCTCTTAATGATTCAAGGATTCAAATATTTCAATGGTAAAGAAAGCATTTTCTATTAGGGGATATCTATTTAATTCTTGGGTGCCTTGTATTTCTAAAGAAGAAAAATATGAGATTACATGAGACATATACCATTCCTGTGATATTCATCATATTTTCTTATACTAAATTCTTTACTAATTAATTTTATTATTCTTTTTTTTTTTTCCTTTTTGTCTTTTTTCGTGACCGGCAACGGATCGCAACCCTCAGTGTCGCGCCCGTACCGGACCGGAACCGGCAACGGGATCGCAACCCTCGGTGTTGCGCCCGCACCTCGCTCAGGCAGTGAGCGGGAACCAGTCTGTATGTGGGATCCGAACCCTCGGCGGGAGCGCTGCTGTGCTCCCAAGCGGCGCACTGTAGCAGTGCGCCACCAGGCCGGCCCTTATTATTCTTGAAATAAAAATTTGTCTTTAAAATACACATTTTTCAGTACTGTTATATACATGTTCATTCTTTGGGTTTAGGTACTAATATACCCAATTGAAAACTATGGAAACTGAACTGAAGTGAAATAATTTGTAGTGCTGTGTTACTTAGCAACGTTTTGTTCTTAAACATTTTTTTTTTTTCCCCTGCTGGGATTTTGGTACTTACTTAGAGAGCTTTGAGTTAATATTTACTTGATTTGTTTTCTTTTCTGAAGTGACATTTTAAATACTTTTAAGATTTTCCTTGAGTGAGAGATGTGAGCTCTACTTTTTTCTTTCCTGTATGATATACATACATTGTTTTCAATTTTATTTTTATTAAATAAGTAAAGAATAGCCCCCAGTCTCCCTGTTTTAGATACTACTATTCACATATTTACTATTTATTTATTTGAGTTGGTTTGAAGTAAATGTTACTTTTATACAGGATATGAAAGATGGGTTTTTTGATAAACTAATAGCATAAATAAGATTTTGCCAACATTTAAAAAGAACAAATATTTGGACAACTAAAATGTGAATATGAAAAGAAATGCTACAATTACTTGAGTAGAGTATTCCTAGAGATCCATTAAAATTGGTCCAAGAAAACTCTAATTATGAACATCTTGTTACCACTTGATTGAATTACAGAATGTACTTGAAAGCAGAAGAAGTTAATTTACTGAATTATTCTAAAATTCACTATATTCAGTATTTTAGGATAAGTGAAATCTTTATCTTATTAATCTGGATTAATAAATACATGTATGCAAATAATTGATTATTTTTAATGTACTTGTACTCAAAAAGCATGTGGTAACTTTTAATTTAAAAGTCAGCTGGCTGGATAATATGATTTTTTTTTCTCTCAGGGATAGATCATCATTAAGAACCATTAATGTAACTGAAACATCATTAGAGTTTTCAGATTTGGACTATAACGTTGAATATAGTGCTTATGTAACAGCTAACACCAGATTTGGTGACGGGAAAACAAGAAGCAGTGTCATTAACTTTCGAACACCAGAGGGAGGTGAGTTCTTAAGGATGTAAGCCAATTAAAAATATTCTGCTTAGAAAAAAAGTATTAAATATCGAAATGTATTATTAAGACTAACATCCATCATCAGTTGGATGCAAGATTGCATTTAGGTTACTTTGTAGTTATATGATGTTGGGAAAGCTAGTTAATCTCTCCGTCTTTCAATTTTCTATCTGTAATATAAAAATAATATAATATCTACTTACAGGGTTCTTATGAGGATTAAGTCAACTTATATTTGTACTGGTAAATGCATTCAGCACAGAATTTACTTGACACATAGTAAGCATTTTATGTGTTTGTGAAATGAAACAAAATAAAATGCATGAAGTCAGCTCTCTGTTTGACTTTGACCCCTATTATTCAATTTTAAAATTCTAAGTTAAATTCAAATTTTATGTTATGTATTCTATATTGGCAACTTATTATAATGTTGTTTTCAAACCAGGGCAGTGGGTATGTTTTAGAGCCAGGGAAATATTTTACAGGTGAGAAATCCATCTGTCCTCTGCTTGAATATTGCTATGATAGAGTGTTAGAGGGATGGCCCATGAGTGTTGTGGGTCCCATTTCTGACCTCTAAATAGCAATGATCATCTGTTTAACTTATCAAATGTGCTAAAATTCAGGGCATTTTAGACATTACTAGGAGCCATGAGTACAGTTTTTTGTTCAATTGTTTGTTTTTTAGAACCAAGTGATCCTCCTAAAGATGTTCATTATGTAAATCTCAGTTCTTCATCAATAATTATCTTTTGGATGCCTCCTTCAAAACCTAATGGAATAATACAATATTATTCTGTTTATTATAAAAATTCTTCAGGTACTTTTATGCAGGTAAGGCCTGAGTTTTCTCCTAGTTCTTTATTTACATCCTTCAGTTTTGTTGGTAATATGAGCTTGCCATGGTAGAAGAAATCTGTTACCTTACATCCATAATTATAGACAGGTATGTTTTCTCTCTCTCTCTCTACCTCCACCCCACCACACACACACATTTCTATAACTTCACACTTTCTATAGCTTCACATGTATTAGCAACAACGAAGCTACAACCTATTTAAAATTCTGTATATAAAGATGGACCCCAATTCAACTTCCTCCGAGAAGTATTCTCTAAAGTGTTGATGGTTTCATTTATCCTCAAAGTTATTTCTTAGCTAAAAATAAGTTTTATTTTGCTTATGTATAGTATAAATAGTTGTAGTGTTTGGATGTGTTTGTGTGTTTTTCTTAAATTAAAAAAATGTTTGTGACTGTTAGCAGGAAGGGTTATTATTGGTATAATAATAGTAACTATTATTATTATTACTTAGTATTAGATATAATGGAGACCATGAGGAATGTGGTTATTTAATTTCTGGTGTACAGGGTTCTGTGTTTGCACAGTTTTCAGATGAGCACTTTCTAGGATGTGAATGATAATAGTTATGAAAATAGCTAAAATGCATTTAATTTAGAGAAGTATTTTCGATTTTTTATCAGAATTATATTATCTCTCTAAATGAAGTGTTTCCCAGAACTCCAATAGTAAAAAGCATAAAATTAGAGTGGTTGTGATTGAATGAAAGATGGGAAGAGTTGGAATATAATTTGAAAAACACTAATTTAGAAGAAATACTTCAATTTACAAAATATGTACTTTACTCGTAGAAATTATTGACTGCATATTGATTGTGACTTTGGCAATTCTTATTTCTTTGTATCCTTTTAAGTAAAAGGAGAATAGAGATAAGTCTTGGTAATTCTAAGCTGCCAAATCTCATTGTGACTGACAACCCAAGTTTAGTCAGAAGAGTCTGTTCTTGTGAGTGACAACCTCTGGGACTAAGGCACAATTTGCTTTAGTGCAGCTGTTGTACAGTGTAGACTAATGAATAGGGTAAGAGCAGAACTTTGGTTATTCTCAGGACTAACCCAGCAGGGAGTAAAAGAAAGGCCGGAGTTTGGCTCAGTGTTTACATTCTGACCTCTAAGAGTGGGATTGTATTATAAGTGTGCCTATTTAAAACTTCATGTCAAAAGGAAACTACTTTATAAAAGACATGTAGATATAGATATAATTGTAATTATAGATCAACATTTTTAAAACAAATTCCTTATGAGCAGAAGGAGAGAGGAAGGTGCAGTTTTCTTCTATTATGTGTATTAAGCAGTTTTTACTGTTCCTTTTTCTTCCACTCTCTTTGGGGAAGAGAAATGGGAACTAGTGAGGCCATTTATTTTTCACCACAATATTGTTTACAAATTTAATGATACACCATTAGTACCACAGAAGATATTTAAATTGCCTACTTTTCCACGCATTTAACAAAAACATTGCAAAATGGCTTCGGTATTTCTAAATCTTAGCAATGGTTTGCCTCTGTACAATTTGCTTATGTTTTATACATGATTATAGTTTGGTTCTCTTTGTCAGCATCTCTAAATAAGCAAGTGTAAGCATCTAAGTATGGTTTCAACATGATCTTCTACACCTACTGATTCAGACCTAGGTATATAATATGATCCCATTTGCAATTTGTCTGCCTTAGAACATGTTATATTTTATTAAATAATCTTAAGAATGCTTTTAAGTGTGACAGCTGCAAGAGAGCACAGGCTAATGATGATAAAACATTTCAGAAGTATAGTTTCATATTGCTTGATGTTCATCCATGCTTTACTTTATTCCTAAAGTTAATGTTAAAAATAGCAACAATATCTTTACTACCTAATTTTCTATTTTGGTTTGGTAGAATAGAAGAAATTCTCGAAATGCAAATTACACAGGAGTATAGGTGTATAGCTGTTGTCTTGTTTCTTCTCTTCTTTCCCTTTCCCACGGAATTTTGTAAAACAACTTATGCATGGCATGTTACATTCGGTCTCCTGTTCCAGATATATGCTGCTTGTTTTAGTTCCATTGTGTCATAGCAAACAACTTGAAGAAAAAGATTGTGTGACATTTACCTTTCCATTTCCTGAAATCCCCCAGAACTGTATTATGCATAAGTTCAATGCTCAATAAATATTTTAATTCAAAGAACATAAAATTGTTATAATAGACCAACATTATTTTCATTACTTAGTTATGATTTTTGAGCACTTGAGTATGTAGTCAAGTAATCTTCTTTCTTTAATCTTTCTTTATTCTTATCTTGGGTCATTTAATCTCTGTGTTACTGCTTGGCAATCCATCTTGTTCTTCCTTCGGTTGTTCCACACTGTGTTTTGTATAGCATATTAAATCTTCTACATTTTAATTTTTATCCACTTATATCATGTCCCCTCAGTGTGCCTGGTGTAATGTCTCAAATAAAAAAATGCTGAATGAATATTAATTGATTAATCAAATTTGAAGAGCTTTTACTAAATACCTTCTGACAATATTTATATAAACAAAGGAGTAAACCTTAACTAGATAATTTGAGCCAAAAATTTCTGTTCAGAAATAAACAGATTAATGAAATAATCATCTGGATAACTGATCTAATTTTGTAAATTTGTTATATGTCTATGCATGTTAAGTCACACAGCCAGCAGAAATGACTTCTGAGTGATTCAGAATAATTTGTTACTGGTCATAGGGGTCTTAGGTTATCAGAATGAATTCTATAACAAAGAAAAATTAAAATTTATACCAGAAAGCTACATTAATACTTTTAAGTGGTGCTTTATATAAGCTTCTTATTCCATGTGTAAAGTAGATGTACTGTTGGAAGGTATTAAAGTTCATGATGGATCATACTTTGTGTGAGATTGTTATATTGCTTTATGTGTCTGTTCCTAAATGAGTCACCACAAAATTGAAGTAAATCTTTTATTGCACTCACTCCCCCCGCCCCAGATACTGGCAAAAGAACCACAAAAATCTGCTGAATTTAATCTTTTGATAAATTTTAGAATCATCTTTTATAAATTCAGTCAAATTGATTATCCTATGTCATTCATTTTAAATGAAACTGATTACCATTTATTGTTTTTTTATTATGTGCCAGACATGGTATTGATTGCTTTATGTGCTCCATGTCACCTAATCCTCAAAAGCTCTCTGTGCAATGGAGATGATTATTCCCATTTTACAGTTGAGGGAAGTTAAGCTTTGAGATTAGTTGATTTATCCAGGGCTACCCTGCCAGAACTTGAATGCAGACCTATAGGACTCCATGAAGTGTAGATTGGAATGATTCAGCTCTCTCAGTATAGATGGACATTACTGTAAAATTATACATACTAGTTACCTACATGGTTCATGAAGTCTATTCTCATTTATTTTAGAATTCATTTTGACTATGTGTTCTGTTTTTAAAATTTGGTCAGAAAGGAAATGATTGCATAAATTCCCCAATAATTCAAAAATGCCTTAGGAAAAATATAACTATGAGTCAGGAAATAAAACTTAAAAATTCCTCTTACTCTGCATATCAGAGAGTGCATCTAACTGTTTTCCCTCTGCTCCCCATGACTATAGAAAAAAGAGGACCCACTAAAGGTGAATAATAATAACTATTTGAGTTCATAGAAGGAGACAAACACTTTCATAATTCCTTCATCATTAACAGGAAGAAAAAATTGAAAATTTTATAGTACTCCCAAACTTGTTTTAAAATAGCCAATACTTTGAAAAATATTGAGTGTTTTGTATAGAAAACTGACACCGCTCAGCATGGTTATAGCATTTTCAGTTGGCTGAATCTTGAAGATTTTACTTTTGTTATTTGTGTATTGATTTTGTAATAAAAACTGCTACCATGTATTTCTCTTTAGTACAGACATATTTCCAGTTTAATTATTGCAATAAAAATATCCTATATTGATTTTCCTAAAAAATTAACATGTTCAAATAATGAGATAAACAACTCATGGATAATAATAATTTTGAAATGTTCATGTATAATAAAATCCATTCTGAACAATTAAAAAAATGTTTATTTTTCAGAATTTTACACTCCATGAAGTAACCAATGACTTTGACAATATGACCGTATCTGCAATAATAGATAAACTGGCAATATTCAGCTACTATACATTTTGGTTAACAGCAAGTACTTCAATTGGAAATGGGAATAAAAGCAGTGACATAATTCAAGTATACACAGACCAAGACAGTACGTAAATGAAAAGCACTTATTAATCTTTAATAGGATTAATTAAATACTCTATAAATATTGCAGGATCATTTTCTATTTGTATGTATTTGTAGTAAAATCTACATTTTATTTTGGCACATTTAACTATTCATTATCGGAGTCTGAAAATGCATTTAATATAGTTATAAAACCATTACAATAATAACAGCCTCTTCTATTTATGAAAACTGCTACCATCATTTATGAAAATTCTGTTGCTTTTTTGTTTCAAAAGATATGACAGCCATTCAGTTATGGGCATGAGAAATACTTCTGCATACATGAATGAATTTTCCGATAATTAATGTACCAACCATCTGCTTTAAGAGCTACTTTTTTGTTTTATCTCTAACAACTTGTTTCCTTTTCAGACTTTGAATCCACATTGGACAATATGCAGCACTTTTATTCTTACTGTGTTTTTGATTAATATATCCATAGTATCTTTTTTATTTCCAGAAGTTTCTTGTATGTGGTTTCTGCAGAATCCTGTTTGTGCTGAGTGTTCAGAAAACTATAATGATTGAAGCTCTTGATTTTTTTAGGCTTCAGTTTTCAGAATACAATGATGTGTGTTTCCCTTGTGGTTGTTACTGTTTTCCATTTGTTTGTTTATTTGTAAAAGATCAGTCTGTTATTGAGAAATGGTATTGACCTAAACTTCTGCTGAGTATAAAATTCCATGCTTAGTATCTGTAGGTCATAAGTTGACAGACACTATAAGCATTGAGAATTCGATGCTTTCCTTGTTGTTGGAACAATGTTTGAATAGTTAACAAGTTGATCACCAGAGTAAGATATAATAAATTGTGTGGAAATATTTATTTGGGGAATTTTTAGCAAAAATGTTTTAGTGTAATATATGGTCAATATCATTTTGTCCATTCTTTAAATGCAGAAATCTCCCATGATTTTTGCCAACCTATAACATTTTATCAATTATAATCATAGCACCATGAAAATAAGCACTTACTGTACACTGCTTTAGGTGGGATGTCAAGTTTACATTAATAGAGTCTAGTGTCACAACACAACTGATATCTGAGAATTAGAACTTTTATAAGTAGGGTAATATTTTAATATACAAATGCGGGTTGGTAGTCTGGTGACTAGAGATATCTTGGGACTGGGTATAAGAAAAGCTGAGTTAGTATTGACCCTTCCTTTTACTACCAACATGAACTTGAGCAAGTCACTTAATGGCTGTGAGCCTCAGTTTCCTCCTATGTACGATAAGGATAATCTTTAGAAGAAAGAAACTAAAAATATAGTTTGGATAATATTAGTTAACAAATTATTTCAATATCTGAGTGTATAATCTCCATGTTGTAGAAAAGAAAAGCCAAGAGAATATTGTATAAAACAATTCTCACACATATTAAAGATGAAAGGTTTTACTTCGAATGATTTTTAAAATAATAATTAAGATTTTTTAATAGGCAATGCTTATCACATCTGCAGTTAAATAATGTAAGAGCTGATGATGTAATAGATACCTTTTCCACAATCATATCCAGTTTGTGAATGTAGTTCTGTTTAGAGTAACTCATGGTTTTTGGGCCGGCCCCATGGCTCACTCAGGAGAGTGCGGCACTGGTAGCACAGAGGCCGCGGGTTCGGACCCTATATAGGGATGGCTGGTGCGCTCCCTGGTTGAGCACGGTGTGGACAACACCAGGCCGGGGGTTGTGATCCCCTTACTGGTCCAAAAAATAAAATAAAATAAAAGCATATCCAGTTTGTGAATGTAGTTCTGTTTAGAGTAACTCATGGTTTTTGGGCCGGCCCCATGGCTCACTCAGGAGAGTGCGGCACTGGTAGCACAGAGGCCGCGGGTTCAGACCCTATATAGGGATGGCTGGTGCACTCCCTGGTTGAGCACGGTGTGGACAACACCGGGCCGGGGGTTGTGATCCCCTTACTGGTCAAATAAAATAAAATAAAATAAAATATTTATAAAGTAACTCATGATTTTTATATTTTGCAAATTACCTGTCATAGTACCTGAAGGGCTTGTTGGAAACCCGACTTACGAGTCCATTTCGTCAGCTGCAGTAAATATAAGCTGGGTCCCACCATCTCAACCAAACGGTCTAGTCTTCTACTGTGTTTCACTGAGCTTGCAGCAGACTCCTCGCCACGTGAAACCACCCCTAGTTACCTATGAGAGAAGCATGTTTTTTGATAATTTGGAAAAATATACTGATTATATATTAAAAATCACTCCATCAACAGAAAAGGGATTCTCTGATACCTATACTGCCCAGCTACACATCAAAACTGAAGAAGATGGTAGTCTAGACCCTTTCATTGCCTGTGAAGCAGATTGTTGTTGTTCTCTTCATTTATATTGATTTCTGATAGGAAATGTTATTCTTATATAGATTTTGCTCATTCTCAAGTTATTAGCCTTTTAATAAACAAAATATTTCTAAATTTCCTAAAATTAAAATAATTATCTGCTAATAAAATAAGCCCCATTATTATTGAGCCTTCTTCTTTTTAATGCTAATTCGCTTTTGTTTCATTAATATTCTCTTTTTCTTTTATAGTCCCAGAAACTTCACCAATAATCAACACTTTTAAAAACCTTTCCTCTACCTCAGTTCTCTTATCATGGGATCCCCCAGTAAAGCCAAATGGTGCAATAATAAGTTATGATTTAACTTTACAAGGACCGAATGAAAATTATTCTTTCATTACTTCTGATAACTATATAATATTGGAAGAGCTTTCACCATTTACATTATATAGTTTTTTTGCGGCTGCAAGAACTAGAAAAGGACTCGGTCCTTCCAGTATTCTTTTCTTTTACACAGATGAATCAGGTAAGCCGGAATCCACATTTCTTCAAATGATTTCCCTGTTGCAGAGCTTGCTCTCTCTTTTTAAGGAACAGCATGGAAATGAAAGGATATTTGATTGTCTATTTCTAACAGGCTTACAATTATTCATCTACTTTGCTGAACCTTCTTTTTCTTTTAATTTGAGCTTTAGAATTATGTGTTCTGTTTAAAGCTACTTTGGAACTACTGTGTTGCAGGTACAAAAACATAATTACTTATGATTCTGAAATTAAAATATGATTACTCTATAAATCTTTTTTTCCTAACATTTTTATTTACCTATTTTTGATCGTACATATTTATGGGATACAGGTTTGACTATCAGTATTTGTGTATAGTATGTGATGATTAAATCAATATTATTAGCATGTTTGTCATTACAAATCATAATTACTGTTTGTGTCCCTTACCCAATTACTCCCTAAGCCCCCTCCCCCTCTCCTTTACCACCTCTAATAACTATAGGTTCTGTTCTCCCCTTCTGGAAGTTCAACATTTTATTGTGGTCTTTCTTTTTTTCTTTCTTAGCTCCCACTTATGAGTGAGGACATGCGTTGTTTCTCTTTCTGTGCCTGGCTTATTTCACTTAATATAATTTTCTCCAAGCTCATCCATGTTGCTGCAAAGGGCAGAATTTAATTCTT